GAGGCAGAGCTGGACCCCAAGGTTGAGGGGCTTTCACCCAGTCCCTACAGCCTGGCACTTTGAACTCAGACTTAAAGCCTCCAAACTGTAAGAGAATCCTGTTTGTTAAGGCTATCCCATTTGTGGTATATTCTTGTCAGAGTGGCACTAGGTGACCAGAACAGGAGTCACGCCAGGCCTTGGGATTCCTTGGACCAAACTGGAAACTGGGCAGCCTAGCATGACCTTCTGTATCAGAAGCTGTGCATAGGAATGATGCTGGATTTTGGTCAGCAGAACAGAAGCAGTTCCCACAGTACCTCCTCTCCTGGGATTCCAGTTCTAGGAATGCTGCTCAAAAAAAAAAAAATAAGCAAGTCTTGGAATAACTACATTTTCAATCTCATTTTATCATGATCACATGTCAGGTTATTGCTTTGGTTAGGGAACTCTATCTTCTCCCCTTCTCTGTACTCACAACTAAGGCACTTGTTTTGCTGGAGAATTAGTAATCATTCTTTACAGTTGGTGTGAGTTCAATCATTGTCCAGGGTCAGGCTTCTTGGTGCCGAGAGTCTGCCTTTTTGTATGGTAATACGTATGTTTTGATCTTTAGGTGTTGGTTCTGGAGCAAAGCGATGGCCTAAAAGGATAGAATCTAGACTGGTGAAGAGAAGGTAGATATGCATAAATAAGGAGCTCTGGTGGTGTGGTGGGTAAGGCATTTGGCTGCTAACCAGAAGGTCAGCGATTCAAACCCAGTAGCAGCTCCACAGGAAGAAGATGAGGCAATCTACTTCCATAAAGATTTACGGCCTTGGAAACCCAATGGGTGTCGCTATGAGTCAGAATCGACTCAATGGCAGTGAGTTTGGTTTTTTCTGGTTTTATATGTATAATGATTTGAGGGAAACATGCCATGTGTTTAAAAATTAACTTTGCAAATCACCAAAGCAAACAACCTTTTGTCAGATACTTACTAAGAAAATGCTCCATAGAATTCTATTTCATTTCAGTGTTATAGTTGTAGGAGGTAAATAGACTGTTAACACAACAATGTGAGTCTAGGCTGCTTGCTAGGGGTTATGTGTCAGCAGGGTAAAAGGGATAAGTTAAGGCAAGACAACAGGCTGGCTTAGTATCAGAGATCTTCCTTACTCCTGGGGTCTTTGTTCTGTTTTATTCTAAAAACTTTGCCTGGATTCTTACCCGTTTGTGTCCACAGTTTTACTTGAATCTGATATTTCTCTTGTATTCTTGCCTGCACAATTGTAGAGGTACATTTCCTACCTTACCTGAATTCTCTGGAATTAACTCTTGACTTCTACCTTATACCCTGTCCCACAAACACTAGGGAATGGTGGATAAAGCATGTTTTGAGCCAGAAAGACTTGTGTTTCAATCCTAGCTATGCACTTCCCAGCTTAAGCCTCAGTTTCCTTATCTATAAACTTGAGATTAACAATACCTACCTTATGAGGTTGTTGTTAACGTTAAAAATGAATAACGCCTTACCTCATTAGGTTATTGTTAAATGAGATTAGATTTACTAAATAGTAAGACTTCTTTTTCCAGCAAAGTAAGGAGAAGCCACAGGGTTTAGTTCTCCTCCTCTCAACTCCTACTATCACAGCAATTCTGGCCCATTGCCTTTTCTGGTCATAGTTAATGATTTCACATATGTATGTGCCAGCTCTCCAAGAGAATGTAACCCTTTGCGGGAGGAAACCATAGTTCTATGTACTCACAAGGGACTGAGCACACAGAATATAGGAAGATCTGCTATATTCCAGAAAAGCAATGCTCCTCAGAACTCAGATTTTAAAGGGAATTTTTCCATGTGGTATGTGGTACATGTTCACTATGAGACTATAAGCCTGGTGTGTTCATTTATAAGTCTCCGGGGAGGAAAATGTTTGGGATGACTCCATGGGAAAAGGTAAGCATAAAATGTAAAGGACAACTTGAAAACCTTTGCTCCCAATTTATTTGAACTGCAAACAGTTGGCAAACAGTTGGTCAACTTGATGGCAGCTAACAACTATATATGCCAAGTTCAATTTCTTGAGGATACCAACAGCCCCAACTCACAGCTGTGATATTGTTGAAAGACCATCCCTGGTCTACGTTGTTCTAATATTGAATATCTTGATAAATGCTTGTTTGCTCATTCTCTCCAATGGCTGGTGCACCCCGTAGTGTAAAGATTATCATAAGATGACTACTTGCCCATTCATGTTGAGATTGTCTATACGACAGCAAAAATGGAGTTTGGGCAGAACAAGTGACATATGTGTTAATGATCAGTTATAATGATCAATATGAAGAGGGGAACCATATCTGTGCACTGGTTCAGTTTAGTAAGATGTGCTGGGAAAACTGTTGGATTCAGTGGATTCAGCCAAATTGCTTAACAAGTGCTGTGGAAAGCTGAACAAAATAATTAGCCTAGGGTGTCTGTTTTCCTCTGTCTGAGGGAGTCTTGCCAGTCTGAAAACTGTTGCTTTATAGGCACTAGAGGTTGAAATCAGACCCCCCAATATTTTTAGAGTTCCTACTAGATGCTGGAGGGCAGGGGTGGTTCAGTGGTGGAATTCTTACCTTCCACGTGGGAAACCTGGGTTTGATTCCTGGCCAATGCACCTCAGGCACAACCACCACTGACCTGTTAGTGGAGGCTTGTGTGTTTCTGTGATGAATAAGCCTCAACAGAGCTTCGAGATTGAGAAAGAGTAGGAAGAAAGGGCTGGCAATCTACTCCCCCAAAGCAGCCAATGAAAACCCCATGGATCACAACGGTCAGATCCTGTTGTGCATGAGGTCATCATGAGTCGAGGGTCAACTTGATGGCAGCTAGCAACTATAAATATGCCAAGTTCAATTCTAGGGGTCCTGGAGCCTCTGAAAGGAAAAGAAGATATAATCTGTGCTTTCCAGGAGCTAGTATTCTAGTTGGGGAGGTAAGACTATCACACAAGACAATCAATAAATACCATATGTGATATGGAGCTATACAGTGTGATACAGACAGCAAAGGTTCCTGGGAGATTATAGAGATAGAAGCTTGAACAAAAGGTGCTTAAAAAGTACATCTTGAATAGTTGGAGGAGAGGGAAGGAAGGAGGGAGACAGATTTCATGGAGGAAGTCAAGCTTGGGGCCTAAAGCTATAGCAGTCAAAAATCAAAAGAAAACACATACAACCTTTGGTCAAAGGATGGATCAAGGGGGTGGGGACTTTTCTACAGGGAGAAGCAAGCTCATTTGGAGGAGTCTGGGCAGCTGCAATTCATTCTCCCAGGCAATGAAGGCCCAAAGAGAAATGATCAATTCTACAAGCTCTAGGACTTTCTTGGCCACAAGTTGGAGGACGAAGTGTCCAGCTGGATTCTGGGGCAGGTTCCAGTTAAGAACTGGACATAGCCTCTGCCTGACAGGATTCACTTCCCTCCAGCACCCATTAAAAAGACACTGCAGGAGGAAGGCCTCCCATTGCAAGCTCCAAGTCTCCTACTCATCTCCAGCAAAGTTAGATCCACAGGATGAATGGAAGAGGCTGCCTCCATTTTGATAATGTCCCTCACCTGCTGGCTCCCAGAAGATACTTACTCTGAGTGGAAACTCTGGCTAAAGTGGACAAAGGAACACAGCCAGGACAAAATGCCAGGGATGTCATAAAAGGACAGCCAACCCTATCCATTTATTTCTCCACTGGCTCATTTCTGGACATTTCAAAGTCTCTGCAGTTGAATAAATCTGACAGCTGACTTGTTGAATAAATCTGACAGTGGATTTGTTGATACATATAACAAATACAAGGTAAGTGAGCTTTCTATTCTGTAAATTCATAAATGTCTACTAGATCTGGGAAGAAAATGGTTCAAATGATAATATCTTTGAAGGCAGAGCTGTATGCTTCCTCTGTATCCCCCATAGTAGAGTGCTAGCACACATCAGGTGTGCAAGAACTACCTATGAGTTGGCACAGAGACTTGAACCTTGTCCCTGGTACTAGATGAGAAGTCTAGGGCTTAATAAATGGTGCTTTGATGAGGTTCGGAAGAGCCTCTCACAGGTCTGGGAAGGATAAAAGCAAGCTCTGGGACCTCCCCTGAAATAGAGGAGCCCTACTTTTTTTTTTTTTTTTTTAATGTTTTCTATTATGAGCTTCCATACAAGATTCTGTTCTTTTAAACAAGTTTTGAAAACCACTGTCACAGACAAACACAGTCCAAGTTAAGGATTAAATATATAGAGAAGTGGAAAAGGGCATAACTAAAAAGTGATGGCCAGAAAGTTCCTAATATTCTATTTCAAAGGCTGGCAAAATGTTACCATGGAATCTCTGGGGTGGGATAAGTTGAGAAATAGGACGGAAATGGAGAAACCAAGGGACTGGGCTGGATAGAATTGGAAAAGGAGATACTGGGTACCATATTTGGAGTAGTCACTTTGCAAAACTAAAGGGAAATTCACTCTGAAATGAGATGGAGCTGAAGAGAAAATATTGCTGGAAGGAAATGTACCAATGTTGCTAATGATCATCTGGATGGTATAATTATAAGTATTTTTCCTTCCTTGGAACTTCATGTACCTTCTTAATTTTCCTGTAATGGACATGTAATAGTTTTTGAGTAGAATAAAACATCACTATTTTATTTTATTTTTTAGAAAAGAAAGAAAAACATTAGGGCAAGAGAGCAGGAAATGGGATGGAAGAAGCAGACCATGTTTGGCTTTGGACAGAGTGTGTAGTCTACTGCTTTATCTTTACCTAACATGGATCCACTGGGAGTCAATATGTGTTCAGCCCTGTATACCAACTAGCAGACCAAGAAGAATGTGTTTCCTATCTTCAAAGGCCTCACCATCTAATTTGGAAGCCTGTGAAATGACCACATATGTTTTGCCTCCATTGTATCATCAGTGTCTGACATAGTGTGGGGCACAGAGTAGGACAGTAGGTGCCCAATAAATGTTTTTTGAAAGAATAGACGAATGAAACACTTAAGAAACTGCCCAGAATGTAAGATAGAATAGGTATTAAGTTCTACATTGTATGGCACAGAATGCTGTATGTATAAGAATGTGTCTATGTGTGTATATGAAACAGGGCTTGACTGGAACATAACAGGAGAAAGCAAAGTCTTAAAATGCTTTCATCACCTTTCCATCTTCCTTCTCTCAGCCTTCCCCTTTCTTGCAATGCCCTCACGGGTCCCTTGGAGATCGAGGCTGTAACGTGGCATTATCTCTACACTTCAGAACCAGTCCCTCAATCCCAACCAAAGCTCACCTCAACCCACAAGACCTAACGTATTTTGGCTAAGATATTAATGGTTTCTTATGGCGGCACATGTCTCCTCAGCCCTCAACCATCTGATTTAGGGATGCCTGTACATTATTCCCAGGAGCTCTGATGGCATAGTGGATTAAAGCATTTGGCTGTTAATCAAAACGTCACCAGTCCAAACCCACCAGCCACTCCACAGGAGAAAGATTAGGCAGTCTGCTTCCATAAATATTTACAGCCTCAGAAACCCTAGGGGGCAGTTTTACTCTGTCCTAAAGGGTTACTGTCACTCAGAAACAGCTTAATGGCAGTGAATTTGGTTTTGGTACCTTAATCCAAGGGAAACTGTTAGTGACCACTGCCCTTCAAATGTCATCATGTATATCACTTGCATGATTACCCCAAGCATGTTTGCATTAGACAGACTATTGCTAAGGCCAATATCCTTGAACTAGGAGGCAGAGCCTAGAAGATAGTAAAAATGCCTCTGTGGACACACTCACCGGAATCCCATTGATGCCAAGAAAGCCAGGAACTCCCATGGGACCCTAAAGAAAGGGATAGGGAGACAACCCAATTGATCTCCATTAGATTCAGTGTATTTGTTTCTGTGATTCAATGACCTAAGTTGTTAAGAAGTACTGTGTACCCGCCTTCCCACATGGTAGTGTGTTGTTGCCTATTCCAGTTCCAAGTGATCACTTGTCTCTATCTATGGTCTTAGATAAGGAGCTCTGGTGGCATGGTGGATAAGGCATTTGGCTGCTAACCAGAAGATCAGCGGTTCAAACCCACCAGCTGCTCTGCTGAAGGAAGATGGGGCAATCTACTCCCATAAACATTTACTGCCTCAGAAACCCAATGGAGGACACTATGAGTCAGAATCAACTCAATGGCAGTGATGGTCTTGGATATGTCTGTCTTCTGAGACCAGTTCTTAACCTTAGGCAGGGAACATAAAGACCTGCTAAATTCAGCCAGCCGGACATCACAGTATTATCTATCTCCTTTCTTAAAGATCTCGCCCAATATTCGTGGCCCAGATTGCTTCTAAGCATTCTGGCTCCTTGCTTCTCAGTCTCTTTGCTTGGATTCTGTTTTTTTTTTTTTTTTTTTTTGTGATTTGGGTGAAAAAAAATTTTTTTTATTGTGATTTGGGTGAAGATTTACAGAGCAAATTCACTTTCCATACAGCAGTTTACATATAGTTTTTCTCATGACATTGACCACAGTTCACCACAATGCAACAACTCCCCTCCCACTTCCTCCCTATAGTTACCTCTTCCCAGTGTCCATCCCTCCATGCACTCCTGCCCCCTGAGCTGTC